CTGCAATCCTCACAGTAGACACATGGCATTTAGAAATGAAGGGACTCCAGAGATCCCTACAGCATTGAATAGTTAAAGGAGGGCAAAAAAGAGGAGAATGTGAGAGGAGCACCCGTTACCACTATAGAGGGATGGAGGTAGAAGCACACCAATTGTTACTATAGAACTAGATGGTGAAAGGGGCTCCACACATCGCTGGAGGGGGTCATGGTTAGAGGACAGGAGTCACTATCACACTTTATAGAGGGTCAGCACACATTGCCATAGGGGGAACACTGGTTAAAGGGGGAAGAGCACATCACCATAGGGGGACCACCAACTCTAGGGGCTATACACAGAGCCACAGGAGGACCACCGGTTGAAGGGGCAGAACACAGAACCATAAGGGTAACACCAGTTAAAGGGGCAGCATATTGCCATTGGGGTACCTTTAGGTAAAGGGCAGCAAACATTGCCAGGTATTGGGAGGGCACCAGTTAAAAAGGGGCAGCACACGTTATTGGAGGACCATTGGTTAAAAGGGGCAGCAAACACTAAAACATCAGTTAAAGGGGCAGCACACACCGCCATAGGGGAACCTCTGGTTTAAGGAGCAACACACATCACCATAGTGGGACCACCAGTTAAAGGAGCAGCATGTTTTGCCACAAAGGGGGTACCAAAGGGTCAGCACACCTTGCCATAGTAGGGGACCCCCAGTTAAAGGGTCAGCACACCTGGCCATAGTAGGGGATCCCCAGTTAAAGGGTCAGCACACCTTGCCATAGTAGGGGACCCCCAGTTAAAGGGTCAGCCCACCTGGCCATAGTAACAGCCTCGTCCCCGGGAAGTTTTCCCCCCAGCCCTGCTTACTTCTCCCGGGCCTGGCCGTCCGACGGCACCGCCGATCCTTTCCCCTTGGCGAACATGTCGATGTCGGAAGCCGAGCTTGGCCTGCAGACAGCCAGGGAGGCGGAGGAGGAGCTCGGGTCTGCGCGCTGTGTGTCCGCGGATATGGATACAATGTGTACGGCAGCGGCGGCTCCGTCCCTGCACGGCCCCATCTCCCGCTGTGCCTGGCCCATGTCTCCCCAGCCTAGTGCATGCACTGTGTGTATGTGATGAGAACGTGTCCTGGAGGGGGAGGAGCCTGGACCTTCCGCTGCCCCTCACCCACCCGGCCGGCCAATGGGAGGGGGACTGTGTGTACTGTGTGTACTGTGTGTGTCACCCATTGTGCTGCGTGCCAGCCATTGTGTAGCGCTCAGCGGCGCTGCGTGTACCGAGCTGGCGGGGCGACGCTGTGCCCGATCCTATCTGGGTGTACGCGGGGGGGGGGCAGACACCCCCTGCTCGCCCCACACACAATCAGATCACCCCAAAATCAATTATTTATTGCAGGATGGGGGAGGGAAGGTGATCGATCATTGATTGTACAGGATCAGAATCATCCTTTGCTGCACATTGGCCATCTCAGCCCAAAATCCAGGTCAGGAATGGCTGGGGTTCCATGGCAGGCTACGGTGCCCAGAAAAAAACGGGGGTGCCTGGGAAACGGCTGGGGTGCCATGGCAGACCGTGGTGCCCAGAAAAAGGCTGGGGTGCAATGGCAGACTGCGATGCCCAGGAAAAGGCTGGGGTGCCATGGCAGACTGCGATGCCCAGAAAAAGGCTGGGGTGCCATGGCAGACTGCGATGCCCAGAAAAAGGCTGGGGTGCCATGGCAAGCTAGGGTGCCCAGAAAGGCTGGGGTGCCATGCCAGACTGCAGTACCTAGGAAGGGCTGGGGAGCCATACCAGACTGAAGTTCCCAGGAAAGGTTGGGGTCCCCATGGCAGGCTCGGGTTCCCAGGAAAGGCTGGGGTGCCATGACAGACTGCGGTACCCAGGAAGGGCTGGGGAGCCATACCAGACTGAAGTTCCCAGGAAAGGTTGGGGTCCCCATGGCAGACTGCGATGCCCAGGAAAAGGCTGGGGTGCCATGGCAAGCTAGGGTGCCCAGAAAGGCTGGGGTGCCATGCCAGACTGCAGTACCTAGGAAGGGCTGGGGAGCCATACCAGACTGAAGTTCCCAGGAAAGGTTGGGGTCCCCATGGCAGGCTCGGGTTCCCAGGAAAGGCTGGGGTGCCATTACAGACTGCGGTGCCCAGGAAAAGGTTGGGGTGCTGTGAAATTTTGGCCATCGCTCCTGATCAGATATCGTTGCGTGTGCTGGTGATCCAGTGAAAGTATAGATCAGGTTGCGATTGATCGTTTACATCGTGGTTTTTTCATTAGTCGCAAGGGTAAAACAAATGTCCATAAATCAGTAGAACTGACATTCACTGCAGGTGAATCCTTCCACATGTTTCAAATCACAGTGAATGTTTGGCGAAAGTCACATCCACCGCTTTATTAACATGCCCCATCGTTCAATCAATGTCAAATCGCTGATTGATTTCCGATCAATCACAGCTTCCCATAGGAGACGAGGAGTGCGATATACAACGCGGATCGCGTTACACGAGTGATCGGCGACAAAATGATCTCTTGGTGAAATGAGCAAAGTCATCGCACTGCTTAGGTGACATTCTCCTAAACAAAAAAAGATTTCCTTTCTGTGTGATTTTTGGTGTTTGTAATAAGACTAACGCAGAGGGGGCTGTTGTGTGGTACAGGAACGCGTCCAGGATAGTAAGGAGAAGCTTTGGTAGGAGCTCATGCACACAGGCCATTAGGTGGTTGTGTTCAGTTAGGTGCGTATGGTTTGTAAGCGGACATATACAGTGCGTGCCATATACCTGTATCCATCAATGGCCGTTGTCGCTGCTGTTCACGTGTCAGCTCTCATGGGATTACAGCCTCTGACGGGCCCTGGATGCCAACAGTCTGCGTCCTGGGCCGAGCAGAGGCCCCGATCACATGTCACTTCTGGTATGAACGGTCACGTGTGAACAGCGGTGACACCAATCATTCATTTGTACAGTGTGCGAAGGAAGCCTAACACTCAGGGGCCAATCAAAGCCCGCTGCGCCTTTAAGAACCACCTTAGTTTCCCCTTCAACGCATTTCGCCAAATTGGTGACATTTTACCAAAATCTGATTTTCACAGCAATTTCGGGGGAAGTGAAAACTTTTAAATTTGGCTCATCTGTGGTGTGGATGCAGTGCGGGGTATACATGCAGTGCTGTTTACACTCAGTGTGATGTATATGCAGTGAGGGGTACATGCAATGTTGCATACATGCAGTGTGGGGTACATGTGGTGTGGAAGCAGTGTGATGTACATGGAGTGTGGTGTGGATATATAGATTCTTCTCCTCCTGTGTCAGTGATCTCGGGGTGATATGATGATGATGTGATACATTTCCCTGGTTCTGATCAGAGACCCGCACGGCTGTGTTAACGATCACAGTGGCTGTGGCGGGGTACGTAGTGGGGGGGTGGAAATGCTGCATGAATTCTCCCATCTCCCTGCACATAGATCATTCTCCTCTAATCTGGGATCCAAACAGGAGCACAGACATTATTTGTTCATGATTATTGACTATAGCACAGATCTGCCTCTTGGGGTTACTAAGACCTCACTGCTAATTCCCCCCCTTAATCGTATTGCATTTCCCTCCTTTGAGGCGCCGCTTCCCCCCTCCTCCTCCTCCTCCTCCTCCTCCTCTCCGCTCCGTTCAGCTACTGCTCCTTTAAGCGAAACGAGCTGGAGCTTCCTGTCTCTTTAAATTGGCTGACGATCAAAACGCTCTGATTGGCTGATTTCCGAAGGGGCAACTTGAAACTGCTCGCCCGGCCCGACTATGAGCGCCGCTGTTCCAGAGAGAGAGACTGGCAGCAGCGAGAGACATCACCCTGTCAATGAGACTGATTGGAATCACATTCCATGTACTGAGGGGACACTGCTGGGGGACTACAAGTCCAAGCATGCACTGGCAGCTAATGCAAGGACAGAAGAGGAAGTAGAGGGAATGGATGATAAAACTTATATAAAGTTCTCTCTATATTACAAGTGCCACATAGAAGGGAACTGGGAGATACGTCACCCAAAAATGTCACTTTCCTGGTCTATTGTACAGCGCTGCGCTAACTGTTGGCGCTATATAGATCCGTGCATGGAGGGGTATCTTTTTTTTTTTTTTAGCATTAGGCAGTCATGCGTCAATGTGCATTTTCATTGTGCATTGGCATGAGTTATGGCCGTGCGTTGTCAGTCTGTTTTTCACATTAGGATTTGGAGTGGGTAGAGTTAACAACCTACCAGCGGCATCAGCATCACACTCCGGCCACATATACGGTTTGATGAGAGGCCAAATCTTTCCAGAGTTTATCATTATATCATTGGTTCACAATTGAAAGACAGACGACACATTTTGGGGGCCACACAAGCTCCCCTCCCGCATCAGTTCTCAGGCTCGGCCAACACCAGTAACTACAAATCCCATTATGCATCTGTCTCCAGGAGTCAAGCCTGTAGCTGTGAGAATCTTGTAAATGCATCATGGGACTTGTAGTTCCTCAACAGCTGGAGTTTGCCCACTGCTGGCGTTGGCTGTCTTTCTGCTGTGATCCAATGATAGCATTAAAAACGAGCAAGTTTTCTAGTGTGGGCCCTCGTTCTGGCTGACTACCAGGCATTTCCCTCTCCTTGGAGGGATTTCCCCTCACTTCCTGTCGTGGCTATGGGACAGGAAGTGAAATCAACACATAAGGCAGATTAAAAAAAAAAAACGCCGGTGTTACAACTCTCCCTTACTCTATCCAAAACTGAACAAAGAAATACATTTTGGGTTCAGTTCTACTTTAACAGAACGTGTTTTTTTTTCTTTTTTGCAAAACGCAGACACGGGTGAGGCCAGGGGTTCACACTACGCGGCAATCTTGCACGAAACTGCGCGGTTACGAAGTCGCACACTACTGCTGATCACGCTGGCAGCGCCATTCTTTTCTAATGGCACGCCGGTCGCGTTAGGCAGATTGCGTGGTTTCCGGCCACGATTCCACCCGTGCAATCACGCACAATCGCAACTGAAAAAAAAACGTGGATGTAACACCATTGATAATCAATGGAGCCGCGAGGCAAACGCTGTGTGCAACGCACGTCCTAGGACCGCCCAAGTGTGCACCTGGCCTGAAGAACTGTACACCATACGGACATATGAAGACCGTTGTCCTGGTGACCGTTATCACTGAGGGCCAGTTCACACCATATGCAGTTGTGATGCAGTCCGTTTATTTTGACTGCTGCAGTCAAAATACATCCCAATGCTTTCCTGTGGGCTTTCTTGTGCTTAAAGGAGAACTATGGGGTCAGGGCTTTTCCCCATAGTTCTCCTTAGGGTAACGGGAGGACACAAACTAGCGTCCTCCCGTCACCCTAGGCTCAGTATACCGCGAGCTGTAGCTAGGCTCAGTATACCGCGACAATTGTGCCGGGATCCGCCCAGCTGCATGACTGACAGCTGGCCCTGCCTATCTAGAGGCAGAGCCAGCTGTACCCGTCCGTTCCGCCAGTCAGCGCAGGGGGGTGGGGAGGGGGGGAATCCAGCCCCTCCCCTGTCACGCAGAGAGCCGTGAAAGGATCTAGAGGTGAGCAAACGCCGGTATGTGTTCGCTCACTTCCCGATCTACTGAGCCGACCTGTGACAGTCTCATTGTCACAGGTCGGCTAGAACTATGAGGTGAGTGAAAAGCACTTACCTCATAGTTCTCCTTTAAATCACACCATTGCAGTCCGTTCAGAAGCAGTCAGGAAAATAACTGCTTGTCCTATTTTACTTGCATCAAAACGCAGTGCAAACGCACCGGAACGCATTAAACAAAAAAAGACTCAGAATTGATTATGTTATCGCCCAGGGACTTCCTGTTTGTAGTGTGGAGAGGAAGTGAAGAGATGACATTTGTGGATGCAGATGATTTCATCCAGTATGTGCAGGACTGTCCCCTGCTGTACGACAGCAAACATCCCCAATATCAGAATAATCGCCAGAAGATGGCAA